CATCTTTTGGAAAACTTTGAGGATATACAGATTTTTGACTGGGATCTATAGATTGCCATCAGAGTTTCGAAATAGCAAAGGACCGAAGGCTGAAAAAAAGACAACTTTCTGTTTTCAAGACGACATCTTGCTAGTGTCAAAAACAGCTGAAGATGAACACGACTGTTTAATTGGAAGAGTTATGAAAAAGGTATAAACCATTTTGTGCAGAATGAACCACTTAGAGAAGATCATTTCCAACGCAGCAACATTAAAAAACTAATTAAGAGCTTTTCTGAAACGAAAATTAAAAGAAACAGCGAAAAAAAAATAGCCAGCAAAAATTTTCAAATTGACGTCTTTACATACAGAAATTTTTAAAACCACTAAAGATGCGGTCGCAAATAGTTCAAAGATTCGTTAAAACAGTCCATCGAAAGAGACAAGATTAAAATAAAACATTGGCCACAATGGGATAGTAGCCACATTCGAACAGACGTCCAATAGGGAAGATTGGGTTATAATTTCGTTTGAATCACGACGACAAGCTAATAACTAATAAGCATCTGAACTGTAGCTGTGATCTAAGCTACAGAGCTTTTTACGCAACTGCTTCTGGCGAAAAAAATTACAATTGCAATAGACCAGCAAGCACATATATCAGCCTTAAAAAGGAGCAGCTGAAATAAAACATATCAATCAAGATTGACCAGATGGTCTTACAGGTTTTTGCCTCTCCAGTTTGAAAATAAACATTCACGAAGCAATCGGGTAGATAAGCCCTCGAAACGATGAGCATTTAGAGCTTAAACAGAACTCAAACAGCAAAAGTTACGTCATATAGCACCGGTTTGTTCAAAAACCGATCAAACTTCAACCTAAACGAAAATGGCGGATAACCTCAAAATCGAAAAACGAGCAAAATGAACACTTTCTTAAAACACTGCAATTGCATATGGTTATCGAAAAAGTGCAAAGTGAAATATGGATCAATCAAATGGGACCGATGGAATGAGTCTCATAAGTAAAAAAAAAACGGAACATATGGTTATCGAAAAAGTGCAAAGTGAAATATAGATCAATCAAATGGGACCGATGGAATGAGTCTCATAAGTAAAAAAAACGGAACAAATCAAGTGAGGGAGCAGAAATTGAGACTCAAGCTATAAAAGACGTAAAAAAACGAGATCACCGTCGTTGAGAATCGGCACTGAACCAAATAGTCGAAGGAGCCGATAATCGTCAATGAAAACTAGCTGAAGTGCGCCGATCACGTCAAAAAGTGTACTGAGTAAAAACAAAAAATACCATTCAAGACAATTGTGGCACTAATTTGGAACACTTCAAAGGAGCAGAACGGGGCGTCTCAACCAGTAACATTGGTTGCTGAAACTGGCTGCGATAAACGGACAGCAACAATAGAAGACCGAAGAAACTTTGAAATTTCTTCGACCGACTCAAAAATTTGTTTCGTTTAGACGACAACCAGGAGGTGAATTCTGTGAATCTAATCAAGTCAAAACCTTTGTCCAGGAAAAACAAACATCAACTTTCAAAACAACTGGGTAAGATGCGATTGACAACCTGGAAAAAATTTGCCGACAGAGTCTGTTAAAGCTGATTTTGAAAGAAACATGCCTAGACAATGTGAGCTGCGCAATTGAGAGAATTGACAAGCAAGGGATCGAATTGATGTGGACATACACTGATCTAATGTGGAATCAATTGAGTGTATTTAAACCAGTGCATCTTGATAGACAATAGACTGGCTGTATCGAAAAAGTCGATAAAAGCAGCTTTCAAGAGATTGCATAGGGCATAACTGGGACAAGAAGCGATGTTAGATATCTCAAAGTACCTTTGGTTGACACATATGCGAAAGGAAATTGTGATGTTGCGGAAGAATATTTGACATTTACTAATAAACTAAAGTACTTGATAACACGTCAACACTGCAGCCACCGTTATCTTAGTCGGGGATTAAAACCAATTAGACTCAGCGAACAGAAACATGGAAGGAAAAACATTTAAAGTGGCGATCGGTCATTTTTGAAAATTTTTAGCTGAAAGTGAAAAAACCTTCCAGCAGTGGGATGAAAAAACCAAACAAACTAAACAAAACAAATAAGGCTCAAACAAATATTTTTTCCGTGGGATACCATAGAAGTTGGAGCTAGCTAAAAGATTGATTCAAAAAATTAAAGTTTCTTTGAGCACTGCACTTTGGGACCTAAGAGAAGCTAAACAACAAACAATGAACAGAAGTCCGTTCAAAGGTTACTTCCGAAGATTGCCCAATAAGTTACTTTAAAAATACTATGGGGCCAGTTTTCAATCACTTTACACATTTAGATCAACAGCACCTGAACGGTCAGCGTTGATAACTTGATTGCTGAAGAAAAGGATCGACCAAAGCAGGGAGAATGTGAAAATTGTGCTCCACTGTTTAAGCATCAGGCACAGGATTCACAAGATACGGATCAAAACGAGCTGGAACAAATTTGCTGGACGAGATTGTCGAAACTAATTAATTTTTTGAAAAAAAAAAGAAACTGATCAAAGAAACGGAGACCAGACATCGCAAAAACGGGACGGACACCCGATTTAGGAAAACAGTAGTGGTTCGGAAGGATCCGAAGCGGGGGATTCATTGGAGCTTGCGGAAGCAGTAACGATTGAGTAAAAATCTGAGTGAACACAACGAAACAGGTGCTGTCACAGAAATTTGGACGTCGCGATTGCAAAAGCCAAACTGGGGGATAGAGATGGCGATAGAGATGACGCTAACAAACTCAGAGTCTAGCGAAATAACAGGTATTCATTATCGACCCATGTTTCAGGGACTTCCATTGAAATCAAATGATTGTAAAATCGAGAGTCATTAGATCCGGAGGAGGATCAAACCTGGCTGTGCAAAGCAAGAGCAAATCCAAACCGAAAGGGAATGCGACCGAGAACGCAAGTTGATCTAATGACAACACCTTCACGTGTTTGGTCTACAGCTCTTTTAAGACTTAACGTGCTTACATGTCCTCAATTGTTCGAGTGCGCAGCCACCAGGCTTAAAAATTGAGTTCTTTGACTCGGCGGACATCTGATTTGGCAATCTACAACCAAAATATATAGATTGAAAAATGCATAGATCGTATTTCACTCGGCGGGCCGTACCCGCATGCATAGGCTCTATGCTTGATATGCATGCTGGTACGGCCCGCCGAGTCAAATAGCCGAAGTCAAATACTCAAGTAAGATTGTTTTCGTACTCTCTTTCGTTATTGTTCCGACTTTCGATACGAAAGTAACGGAATATTTGTGCTCGGGGTGGGTTTTTTTTTCTTCAGACAAATTTCGACTTTTTAACTAGCCATTTTTGACGGAATTTTTTATATCATTTGAAAGGTATTGTTGTCCTGAGCTCAAATTTGAAAAGATATTTCACCTGTGATCTTTTTTCGTAAAGTTATGGGGGTTTAAAGATTGTCATTTTGGCCAATTTGGGACAATTAACGCGCGATATATTTCGCGCTATTAACGCGCGATATATTTCGCGCTATTAACGCGTAAGCGGAGATTTAATCCGTCTTTTAAATCGTTCCAAATTGGTTTAACGAAGCTTATTTGCCATAGTTGATTTGTTACAAGTAGCGAAATCTATCCTTTTGTACTTTATATGGCGTGTGAGGGGATGATTTAAAAAAAAAAAATTCAAATTTAAAAAAAAAAAATTTAATTTTGTTTTATTACTTTTAATTTTTTTAATGTTATTACTGCTCCATAAATCTTAAGAGCCAGTCGGAACATTCAGGGCTTCGCCCTGATTCGAGCAGTCTTGTTGTACTTTAGTTTTCTCTCTTTTTTTTCCAATCGTTTGTTTTAAGGCCGGTACGTGTTATCATCTTTCTCTACTAGCAGTTTTTAAGTATCAACCAATTGTGCTTCAATCAGTTTATTTACTGCCAATACTATTCTTTTTGGTAATCAATGCTGCCTTCGATAATCAGTAGTTGACGCCAAGTTTGTAAATCTAGCTGGTTGTTTCACTTGTTGCTTGATATTTATCAATCATTTCATTCTGCCAATTGATTCGATTTCAAGTAATTGAGAAAAACAGGAATCAAGTTAACATTCCCCTCTTTTTCACCCAGTTACGCAAATTTTTGAAGACAAAAAATGCTAAGCGTTCCATGTAAAATGCCCACTTCTGTTTGACTGAAAGAACAAATTGAGAGCCAAGTTAGCATCCTCCGCCCAGGGACGGATTTAGGGGACACTTTTTTTCAGAAGTTCGACCACTTCACCAACCAAAGGGTCCCCTTTGGTATGATTTTATGACATTCATTTTTGGTTGAAAATCTAAAAAAGTTAATGAAACCTTCAGCGCTAATTTTAAAGGGAGCGCGCACTGAAAAACGCTACTTTTAGTTCAATTTTTTTTTCAATTAATGCCCAAAAACGGCACTTTAACCAGTTTTAAAAAAATTAAGGCTGCGGTGCAGAAGAGATTATAAAACAGGGAGCTCAGAAAATTAAATTGATTGACCTAGAAAAAATTGTCAATAAAATTTTCAAACATTTTCGAAAGGCAGAATACAGAACCAAACCATTGATAAATCAATTCTGATTCTTTTTCTCACAGGCAGGATAAAACTTAGTTAAGAAATTTGTTCATCTAGTTTACTTTTTTCTTTCTAGAACTATACTTTTTTCTTTCTAGAACAAGTGAAAAATTGACAACAAATTTATTTTAGATATTTCTAAAAGTGACTTTCAACTTGAAGCAACCTGGAAAGGAAACCATAAAGTAGGTGATCAAAAGTTTCCAAAAATACATCAGTTATCTTTTGAAAACATAAACAACTAATTAGAGACAGTTATTATAAACACAGCTAATCTATAAAACTTACGTTACTTTAAACAGTAATATATTTTAACCCGCAGGCTCTGAATAGAATGAAAGTGTAATGAAAACTTTTCTGTAGGAGATTGATTTTAATTAGCACCCGTGGAACTTTTGAGCTCCATTACATTTAAACAGGAAATACCGCTTATTAAACGTTCTGCAACAAGAAAAAAGTTGAGCAAATATAACTTGAAAAAAAAGTACAAAATCATCTACAAATTTTGACAATTTTATTTGAAGCAGCTTGATAACAGCATGCTATAGTTGAAGCAAAAGCTCAGTTGCAAATTAAAATATACATCATCTTCACTAAGTTATCTTCAAGTCCGCTTTCAATTCTTTCTTTGTGTTTAAGCCTCAAAAACTTATACTCGGTAACTATCTTCTGGTTTTCTTTTGAAACATTTGGTAAGTTTCAATGTTTGGTGCAAGTTTTTGTTTTTAAGTATTTGACGAGATTGCTATTACTTTTAGGAACCACAGTTGAAGGGGAAAAATTGGTAATTGACATTTTACTTTCCGCAACTTAAGAAAATCATACCGTTTTTAGAGTTAATTTTGTAGTCGCGTCGCGGGTTAAAGTCACGCCGTCAGTCTTTTCTTAGGTCGTGTCATAAGTCTGGGCCCCTAAGTTGCGGCGCCAGATGTTATGATTGCTCGCCCAAATTATTAGCGGAGGTTGACTACGCTAGCTTCTGTTATTTTTCTCAGTTAATAGATTCAATCTGTTTTTTTTTAGATTTGCTTCAGGTTGTCAGAAATCGTATAACCGGAGCCAACATGACAGAATCAAACAACGTGGTTTCGCTTGAGGTTCCGGTGAGTAAAGGTTAAAATATCTCAGGTAAAACAAATTGCGTGAATTTTAAAATGACGCGTCAAAAAATTCGGAGTTTGCACGCTAATTTTTTTCGTCCGAACGTTCTCAAAGCACACTCTCAAAATATCCAGGTTACCTTTTCTACTTACGCCGGTGTTCTTGTACAATAGTGGAGTCCTTTGGTAAACAGGTTTTTTTTACTAATTTATCATACTTAAAAGTTAGGCGCATCTATCATTTCCTTTGTAATCTTCTTGCTTGTTCGGACTATCGAAGAAAGTTACGGAATATGTTTGTGCTCGAGGTGGTTTTTTTAATATGACAGGTTTCGACTATTCAACTAGCCAAATTTGATGGATTTGTTTTATATCAACTGAAAAGTCTTGATATCTTGAAGTGCAATTCATAAAAAGTTTTTTGATAAAACTTTTTTTGTAAAATTATGGGTTCGAAAATGGTCGATATATTTCTTTCTCGTGAAGCATAAGTGGAAAAACTCATAACATGAAATTGAATTGAGGCAAACTTAACGTCACCAGACTCAAAATTTATGATATGCTATTTTACACAGCGTGTGGGCAGGGTAGTGATATGAAGTGTAGAGATGATGCAAAAAAAAATTGAAAGACTTCAAGCAATTTTTCATCTTTTTTAAGTAACATCGAGGGTTTGGCCTTTATACGAACAGTCTTGTTGTTTCCAGTTCCCATAAAAGTGAAAGAATAATTTTTCTCCCCAAAATTTGTCATTTTAACTAGCCGTTTTTGAAGGAATTTCTTAAATCAGCCAAAGTAGGTGTTGGTGTTGTTAACATGAGCTCAAACTTAAAAAGATATTTCACATGTGATCATTTTTTGTAAAATTATGGTGGTTTAAATATTGCCAATTTGATCACTTTGGGACATTAACGCGCGATAGATTTCGTGTAACAAGGCGTTAGCGGAAAATTTTTTTCAACCAAGCAATCATATCTAGACCTTAAAGAGCAGTCAGAATTTTCAGGGCGTCGCCCTGATACGAGAAGTTTTGCTCTTATATATTTTTAGTGTAGAGCTTTATATCGATAAAAGGTCTATAGAAGAATTATTTATAGCCCAACGTATCCATGTAATTTAGTCTAATTTAGCTCAAAGAATGACTGTTTTCGGATTTGCAGAGAATTGAATATATTAAAATCTTGGAGAAAAAAAGACAAATTTTATTGGAATGGAAACAAAATTCGGGTCTTATGAACTAAACGGCCCAAAATCAATTTTTCTACATCGAAAGCTGGAAATTATGCGATCAAATTTGATTGGGTAATTTTAGCCAATCAAATTCAAGTTACACGGTCAGGCATTCCGATCAACCTTTAGCAGATAAAAATATTAGCCGAAATTGCCGAAAAAGTGGAACTTGAGCCAAATTAACAAATTAATTTTGAGTCACTTGTTAAACCTTGCCCATTCAAGCAAAATTCAGCAAAATGGCTTAACAAAACAAAACTCAATTTTCTTTATCATTTCGGCTTATAATTTTATCTGCTTGAAATTTCAATTAAAATGGCAGAAAATTTTGATGGAACTTGATTGGATAATTAGCCAATCAAATTCATCCACAAACGTTCCAGTTCAAGAGATGTAGAAATAATGAATTTGGGCCGTTTAGTGCATAAGACCCCAAAATTCCATGCAAAGTTATACATGTTCCGTGTTCCGACATTCTAGTTTTCCATCAAATCCTTTGTATTCTTTTCTTTTGTTCCTTTTTCCAAAAAAAAGTGAGAGACTGTTTTAACCAGAAAAATACGACTTCTTTTTACTTTTTTCCAGCAGTTCAGGACAAAAGTATACAAAATTATTTGGAACCTAATGATGTTATGAGCTCAATTTCCATTAATTGCTACTTGGGATAACTAAAAATTGCTACGTACACGTAAGCGGCAATTTACGCCGGATCAGGAACCGCCATATTATTTTGAGGCATGCTGAGTTATTATAAAAAATAAGCTATTATAAGCTTGAAACGTAACTTTGTGCATCAAATAATTTGTGGCTGATAGTTTTCAAAAAAGAAGAAAAACTTGTTCAAGTTTTGTCATTTTTGTTGAACATTTTGTCAATTCTTTTAACTTTAATATTACTTCATAAACTTAAAAAAACATTCAAAACTTCCAGGCTGATGCGAGCCCGTATATTCAAGAAATTTTATGTATAGTTTAACGTATTCAAGTAAGCGAGCAAAATTTAGCACAAAACTTAGCTGTTTCTGAGTATGCAGAGAAGTGATTAATGAAAAAGAAAACGAGAAAGATTATACCGTAATGCAACTGAAAATGTCAGCAACCTGAAAATCTTATAATGTTATTTTGTTCCCTCTTTCGAAGCGAACGGTGGAATACTTATGCTTGGATTGATTTTTTAGTTCAAAATATATAGTTTGAAAAAATTATCTTATCTCTTTGAGACCATTTACATGATGGTCGGAATAGTCAAGGCTTTGTCTGGTATATAAGCAGTATATTTTACATTCAAATAAAGGAAACTTGAACAAAATATGATCTACACATCTTCTCAAAATACGACTCTTTTGCAACGATTAAAAAAACGTTGCTAGTAGTTAAAAAAACGTTGGCCGAACATAAATCCAAATCTGTGTTTTTTAAATCACTGAGTGGGAGTAAACCTAAAATTTCTCCGCTTTTCCGCTTCACATTACCCACCGGAAAAACCCAAAGAACTGTGGAATATGATTATGTCAGCATTCGAGTAAACTTTCAATTTTTGTTAAAAATTTACGAGCTTTCTGATACATATTTCTAAGCTCTCCCGGAATAATAATATTTGAAAACTAAGAACTAAAAGTTCTTTTCTAGATTCGGTCAAAAAACTTTTCTGGTGTTTTTTCTTCATAGGGTTTCAAAACTGATATAAAAACTTCCGAAATGGTCATTTCCTTATTCTATGGAGCCATACGCGTTTATTGGAATTGTTTGAAAACCATTTTTTTTGTGTGGAGCATTGATAAAAGCGAAAACTTGATCAATGAGGAGAATGGTTCTTTCAGGGGCAAAAAAATTGATTTTTGTCGTTGTCAGTATAGTATGTTACCAAGGTCATAACTCCAAATTTTGAAGGTTCGATTTTTTTCTCCACTTAAATTTTAAATTTTTAATTAGTTGTTTTTGAGGGAAATTTGATATATCATCTGAAATTTATCTAATGACTTGAGCTTCAAACTTAAAAATATCTACCCTGCCCTTAATTTTGAACTATCATTGAAAAGTAATAGGGAAAAATGTTTTAAAAAAATTAGATGCTAGCAATTTCTTGTTTCCGCGATTTCTAAACGTGCCTGCGTTTTAAATATATGAAAGATTTGGGACCGATCGTTTAGCAGACCAAGTTTTATCATAAAAAGTGAAAATTGAGTTTTTTAGCAGATTTTGATTGACAGGCAATTAACTGGGGCTGGGGCGCCAGTAATTCAGTTGAGAATCATTACTTCACGCTTTGTAAACAAAACTTGCACTCATTTTAGCAAGTTCCAAACTTAATCTCAGTTCATTCTCAATGAATTTCTCAAAACTTCCAGGCAAAATTCCGGGAGAAAACCTATTATGCAATGGTTTTTTGTTCAAAAAAATCGAAAAAAGGATTTACTCAATATTACAAATGTATTGACAATAATTGTGGATCTAGGCATTCATTTGATTTATAGAAAAACATTATTATGAACTTGCCTTCTAGTCATAACCATTTACGGCCCCAAAATGAATTAGCTGATCGAAAATTTTTGCGTATATATTTTTTCGCGTATATAAAAATTGATCCACCGTGGTCTATGACATTGAACAAAAAGCGATTCTTAATATATCAAGAAAGCAAACTTTTGATTTTTGCGAACGATTTTGGCCTAAAACTTTTGCCATTATCAAAAAACTGTCTTGCTGATGGAACTTTTAAGACAGCTCCATCTCCACTTTACCAAATTTACACCATCTTTGGGTCATCGAAAGAATGGAAATTTCCAGTTGTTTGGGCCTTACTTGGCCAAAAATCAAATAAAAATTACCAAAATTTTTTTGGAACGTTCTTTCATGCCGGAAAACTTATCACAGACTACGAGACGGGTGTTATACCAGCTATTCGAAAACGTTCTTTGTCTCGCAACATTCTGGTTGTTGGTTTCACTATTCTTAGTGCATTTTGCGAAAAATTCAGGAATTTGGATTATATACTTTTTATATGAACGATCAAAAAATTGAAAAAATTTTCAGAAAAATTTTCAGTTTGCCGTTCTTGCCAACCGGCTAACTCACTATGAGAAGTTCAGGAAGAAATAAACGAAAATGAAAATTTGGGCAACATTTTTGACTATCTTTGAAGTTTTTGGATTTTTGGACCAATTACAATGGAAATATGGAACGTTTTCGATCGACCTGTGGACATAAGAACAACAAACGTTTGTGAAGGATGGAATTCAAGCTGGAATAAAACTGTGGGCATTTTTCGACCAAATTTTTGGAAAGTTTCGAAAAATTATCATAAGAGGAATTGCAGTCCCGTCTGCAAATACGATGTGCGAACCGAGGGGAGTGCCCGCCTTTGAAAAAACGAAAATTTCGAGAGCTGGATCGGAAGATTTTGAGGCTTAAGAGCTTGTATCTCGGAGGAAATTTATCAGAATTCGAGTATTGGGACAGTATAGCCCTGATATGTCGAAAAAAATCAATGAAAAACTCAGTTTGTTGAACTCTTTTTATGTTAAACTTGTTACTTCCGTTGATTTTTGTTAATATGCTTTGATAAGTATTCTGTGAATTGATAAAATTCAAAATCTGTTTTTTTGAGCCTTTTTATCTGAGTAAATAATGAAGCTTTCTGATTGGTCAATTTTTGAGTCTGCTAAAAAACCGGTCTGCTAAAAAAGTGGTCTGCTAAAATCCCTAGCACCGAAAGATTTAATACCGCGCAGATGCAGAAAAGTAAGTTTTTACTGAATGCAAACAAATTCCATGGAATCCTAAGAGTTGTTTTGCCGTTTTGCACATCTGGGTTATGTTTTGAAAAAAAAACAAGATAAATTTGCTTGCAAACAATTTTTGCGAACAATTTCTTTGAATAGATATTTCAATTTCCGTCAAGAAAGTGTAATGGAACATTTTTGGGGCTATTTTGAAATATCGACCTAACGAAAATCTTACTCTTGCAATGAAAAGCGCTATAGTCATGCAGTTTTCAATGAAAGAGAAGTAACCTAACTAAAAAAGTTTCGCAGAAGTGTTATACAATGTTTTCTGCAATTTTTAATCGTTTCTTTTCACAGACAGAAAACTGTTTGTAAACAAATTCTAGTCATACAATTCTAATAATTTGACAATTTGAAGGAGGAAAACTTGTTTTAACTAGTGTGTTTGGTATTTTTGATGCATGGAGGTGAGCCTGAAATGTTTACATTGGCAAATTCGCCCGCACCGAGATTATTTTTGTCTCGGGAATCCATTATAATCAATTAAAAACCATGGGCGCTCAGTGCGGGTGGTCGAAACTTCTGTGCTATTTGCATGGCAACCATCTACCCGCACCGGAGTTCCATGGATAAAAATCGATTATAATAGAAAAATGTTGTCTAAAATGTTGTCATTATAATCCATTATTGTAGCAAATTTAGACCACGTAATCGATTATGTGGTCATTAAAATCGATTTCTTTCGAAAAAAATCCATTATAATCCATTATAATCGATTTTAATCCATTATTTTTGTCAGTGAAATCGATTATTTTTGCCAATATAATCCATTATAATTGATTATTTTGAAATAAAAATCCATTATAATCGATTATAATCCATTTCATTTTTAGAACTAAATTCCATTATTTTTGCAAAATATTGCAAACTTTGCGAGAAATTTGCAGAATTTATGCCATGTCTTTTACTAAATGGCATGTCTCAACGTCATCCCCTCGCCCCCTCAAGCTCCCCCCCTCAAGCTCCCCCCACTCAATTTTCCCCCTCAGCTAAAGGGTAAACTGGGGGGGGGGGGGGGGTGGGTTGGTGGAGAGAAGCTGAGGGGGGGGGGGGGGGGTTGGAGAGAAGCTGAGGGGGGGGGGGGGTGAGAGAAGCTGGAGGGGTTGGGTAAATAAAGCCTAATCTTATATCTTGTAAGAATGGATTCAAAAACTTACAAATATCTTACATCAGAATTTTACATCTTAATTTGCTTTCTTACAAGATTCTTATAAGATTCTTACAAGAGAAAAATTGTTGGCCTACTAGATTCTTACAAGATTTCTATAAGATTTTGAATTTTACTAAGACCCGGGTAAGTTTCCTGCTAATGCGTTACATTCGATGAGACTTTTTTCAAATGTATTTTATTCTGTCATGAACTGTTTAAGACCTCGATAAAACTAACTATCATGATTCTATCTCTGTTTTTATTTGAGGTTATTGTTTTTCATTCAACATTAACTTAGCTATTGTATATCTTCAATTTTTGTTTCAGCAGCAGAAGGCACTGGCCCCTCTGAAGAATGGACTGAATTGGGTGGGTCCTCAGCAGCCTATAGTGGGCGTACCATATGGTCTGGAGTATCTGGTCAAACTGGACCAGGTCAAGATCGAGAGATCAAAGGAGGCGAACGACTCCAGTATGTTCACAGAAATTGGGTCTTTTTGAAATCTACCGAGTTGACCAAAAGTCGCTGACTTGAAACTTTACTTATGAGAATCAACTTCATACAAAATTAGGCCTTAAGATTTCAACAGATAAGGGTTAATTCTTTTATGAAAATTGTAAAGTGAACTTTTTCTTTTGAAGCTATTTTTTACTTGCTCTTAAGACTAACTATTCTTTCGAAAATTTTTGAAACTATTTTTTCTTTTCGGTTAAGATTGAAATCCGAAAACAAAACAATTGTTCTCAACGAGTCAAGTAAAACTATTCGGAATATTTCTGTTTTCAGACCGTTTTTTATCATAGGCTAAAAAATAAATTACTCAGTCGAATTTTGTTATTTTATTTGCAGCTTTATTGCAATCCATTTTGATACTCGATAAAACGAGAGATACGTATAGCCATTTCAGATCCAGAAAAATTGGCTAAACATAAATGAAGATCATTAACTTGATTGAATCGCCTGACTTTCTTTTTTATTGGATTTTCCGTCCGATTTGACGCAGCACTGGGAGAATACTAAAAAAAACTAAATATTTTTAAAAAAAACTTTTTTGTTTCACAAAATTATTTTGCAAAAAACTAACATCATGGGCTACTTTCAAAGCAACCAACTAGTGTTGACGTGTTGTTTGGATTTAAAGGTTGGGATGTGGCATGCAAGTGGTATGTGAAGACGGTGGATGGTGACGTGGTATTCCAGGTGTTCGAGGAACCGGACTCACGCCAGACCAACTACTTAACCTGTTCACGCTCCCGCTCATACAACCTACACTTTATGGATCGCAACCACAAGGTAAAAACGCAACTGTTATACTAAAAAACGTGGTATACTAAACGTAACGCGTCCAATTTGCTGCGTCTTCCGAACTAAATAATGATAAAAATAGACCTCATACCACATTAAATATGATCCATAATGTGTAGTCTGCGATGCACAAGCATTTTTGTAATCGAATATGTTACATGACAGAAATTTAAATTAACCGGGGTCGGAAAAAGGCAAGATCAATTTTAGCTATTGTCGACCGCCAGCCCTTTCGTATTTCTAAGGACTTCCGTAGAGGAGGACTCAGGGGAATTTAGATGCCCTCCTCGGGAATTCGACTCCCTTTAGTACGGCATCGGAGCCTTTAGTACGGCAACGAATTTTGAAGGAGCCTTTAGCATGAAAATTTATAACAATAACATCTGATATTTAATCGCCATCAAATAAAATTTATTAACTAAGCTCTAAAACTGATTGAGCTGTCTTTAAATTAATCGAATGAGTTTAGGAAGTGATGATTGTGAAGAAAGAGTTGAACAGCTGTTCGGACACGAACAAGTGTGGCTGCTCAGAAGCTTCGGTCGAGGCACCCCTCGGAAATAACATCGGACGCATGCAGACAGAGTAAGCTAATTGCTAGTATGGGAAAAATCTGATCTGACGCTTGGGGCATTTAAAAAACCTCAATGAGATTGTTTAAAATTCTAAAAATATTAAATGCAAAACAAAAATAAACAGGTGACAGAATCATAAAATTTAAAACACTGGCATAAAACCGGCAAATAAAATTACATTTGAATATATAGTCCGAAGTATTGTGTTTTTGTTATGCAGTTGCAGTCTTTGTTCGCCCCAGTTCTCGGTGGTGAATTACGAGAGTGACTTCGCACTGGTGATCGATGGCCCCTGCTACTCCAAAAACTGCTGCTGCAGTCACAAGTTCGACATCCGCAATGAGGTCAGCCAAGCCTCACATTAATTTATATTTCATTTTCAGGCTTTCTAGAATCATTTTCTGTACAAAATGAATCTTAAAAATTAAATAATTACTTTAATTAATCGAGAAAAGAGAACTACTTCACCCAGCTTTTTTACGCTTTTTTTCAAATTGCGATGAAGAGCCATAAAAAGGTGATATATTGACAAAAAAGTTGGAAATGAAAAAAGGCAACTGATATAAACGCGGAGAGGATCAACCGTCCGTACAATCTACCGAATTATGTCCCACGAAATTGATTCTGTATAAGTGAGCATTTCAAACAAACGCAAAAATAAAAAAGCTTTTATAGTTTTTATGTAGGATTGCATTTCAACGCTTGTAATTAACTGAATTAATGTATTTTCAATCAAATTTGTTTTATGAAACTGTTAATTTTGTATGAATCTAGGCTTTACTTCAAGTTACTTCCTGAAAAATCTATTTTTCCTCCCGTCTAAATCGATTTGGGGGATACTATATACATCATCATGGATAAAAAACGCACTTAAATGGATAAATCGAAAAAAGTAAGACAAGACTGCTAGCATCAACTTAAAGCCTTCAAGGTACGACTGCCCTTTAAAGTCCTGATGAAAAAAAAATTGTTTTAAAAAATTACAAAAAGTTCAAAAATGGAATTAAATTGGATTTTTTACGGAGAGTGCTGCAACACAGCCATGAAACCTAGCAAGACCATTACTCAAGCAGTTGATGATGACGACTACAATTGCGAATGCTATACAATGAATTAAACAGAATTAGCTGCAAAAATGAAGAAAAAAAATTTGAAACTGTCAATAACACAACTGAGGTTTTTAAACACTCGGCTGATTTAAATTCTTGCAGCTGCAAAAAGGTTTGGAATTGATAAAAGAATAGAAAAAACCACCCGTTTTAGTGTATTCCCCACGCGCTATATAAATACAAAAAGGTAAAAATTTTTTAGGTCGACTAAATTGATTTTCCGAGCTGATTTTTCCAAAAGTTTTTTAGGTCGAATAAATTGATTTTCCGAGCTCGCCCAAAGCATTATGAAGACTATAATTTTCAAAAGCATCACGGCAGGTGAAATTCCTTCAAATTTCTAGTTTAATTTATTAAAACTTTCAACCATGATATAAAAAGCTAGTCGATAAAAGGCTCCTTAAAATTCAAAATAAGTCCGAAGAAAATAATGCGTTCAGCACCAATATATAGTCACTTATTTCGAAATTCGGAACACGAATACAGTCTTTTTTAGATTGCTCAAGTCGATTTCAATAAACGAGGAGGGACAATTGACAAAATACCGGGATTAACTTTTTTAGTATTTGAAAAATAAAAAATTCGCGCTGTGATGAGGCGACATTTAGTACCTCATTTATTTTGCTGTCTTTTGCAGCCACGCTGCATAGTTATTTACCAGTCTGCTCAAGGTCACCGGATTGGCCTTACCGAGCGACACACTGTGTGTGATCACTCTTATGTTTTGTATACATCGTTGTTAGATGTAAAGTTTATTCAATCTCTATTTGTTCTATTTCATTTAGTCAAAGTCTGACTAACTAAATCTCAAGTAACTAAGAATCAAAGCAACTAATCAATCAATTCACTATTACGAACAATCTAGTTTTGTCCTTTAAATCTCGGCAAATCTCATGGCGCAGCCAGCAGTTCCTGTGAACGAAGACAGGACTGACCTGTTGGGTATTCCCCCTTTTTGGGCGAAACCTTCGATTAACCCCACATTCCTTTGGGAATCTTGGATTGGACAGTTCTTCCTGGCGGTGGGGTTAAAAGATAACCTGAACCCTCAGGAGTTATTAGCAGAACCCACGGAGGTCATCGATGAACCACCTCCAAAAGCTGAGATCATAGGAGCGACGGAAACAGCTGCGGAGGCCGATGCACGCCTCCTCAGAGATCAGGCAGCAGTTCGCCGCATGGCCGAACACAATGCCGAGCGCAGAAGGAAAGGCCCCAGAATAGGCCTCAACTGGTTCTATCACGAAGCAGAAGCCCGACTGAAGTCACGGTTGTTTTTCGCTCTAGGAAACGAAGGGAAACGACGCTTCGCGGATTCCTACCCGCATACGGACATCAGTGTCACTCCTTTCCGTGATTTCCACAAAGCCTGCGAAACACTATTCAAGATAGAACGCGATTATACTGTCGAGCGCATTAAACTGTACAACAATATCTTTATGTTGGAAAATGACACCTTTTCTTCATTCTACGCTCGCCTCAGTGCTCAAATTGCCTTGTGTAATTGGCCACGTGCTCAAGAGAGGGATACCCTGAAAGATCTTTTCATAGGACGAATTCGTGATGTGGATGTGCAACAGCAGCTGATTAAGGCAAAAGCAGATTTAGACGATACATTCCAACTCGCTCTCGAATGCGAAAAAGGGGCTAGTACATCGGCCCAGTTCCAAAAACTACTCCCACATAACCAAGTCACTGGAAATGTCAAGATAAAACAAGAACCCACTTCCTCAATACAGTCATCTAGAGGAAAGCGGAATACTCCTCAGAACAACTCTAATCGACCAAATATACAAAGTAACAAAGGCAACAAAGCATGTTATTTCTGTGGCAACCCTTTTAGCCCGGAACACAGAAAGTCGTGTCCCGCTCGAGAGGTTACCTGCAATCTTTGCAAAAAACGAGGTCATTTTGCTAAATGCTGTAACTCGTCAAGACGTCGCGTCAATTTGGTCGATGATAGTGAGGAAGTGACTGACCCCTCAATTGACTGTAACTTCATTGATGCAGACTATGATAGCGAACCCGAATACAGTGTGCTACAACTTGAAAGTGCTGTTAGGATTGATAGCGTTGAGCTTCTCAAATCAAACAAAGGGAAACCGAGAAGCCTCAGTATCCAGCTGCGTACGGGTTCGAGCTTCTTCTACTCAACCATCGACACTGGAAGTCCTGTCTCATTCATTAATAAACGGACTTGCGATTTGATATTACAGCGCAACCCATCGTTCAAATTTCGAGACGTAGCACGGAATCCTATAGACACTCTGTATGTTGATTACAATAAAAAACCAATCCGCCTTCTCGGCTCAGTTTGTCTACCGATCTCGTCTAGTGGTTGGAGAGTGGAAGAGGCTTGCTTCCTTGTCTCGGAGAACAGAACAAGAAACCTGTTGGGTTTGGACTTACAAGACCAATTGGGAATAGTGACCACCCAACTGAAGGCAGAACACGTTCAGCAACTTGAGGTTCTGAGCCAGGATCCTGTCTCCGATTATTGGAGTTCTTTCTTCGCAAAAAAATACGCGCACGTATTTAATCGATTAGGAAGATCAAAGAACCACAAAGTGTTTACAAACTTCAAGTATCCACTGGTACCACGTCAGGTTAAGGGACGTAAAGTCCCAATTCACATCCAGGACAGAGTCGCTAACGAAATCAAACAGTTGGTAAAACAAGGTCACATTGAGAAACTGGACAAATGCACAACTGACTATTTCATAGCACCCATTGTACTGACTGCCAAGAAGGACGGCTCGATAAAACTTGCTTTAAATGCTAAACCGATGAATGCGCAAATCTGGAAGAACAAGTACCAGATGCCAAATATTCACGAGCTTGTTGATTCTGTGGCTCAAATAATCACTAAAGATGTACCAGGCACCGTTTGGTTCACCTCGTTAGACTTGAAATATGCTTTCAGCCAGCTGCCATTGTCTTCAGCCACCAGCAATCATTGTAATTTCAATATTTTATGCGGAGATGCTACGGGAACCTATCGGTTTAAGACAGGGTTCTATGGGTTGACCGACATGCCAACCGAGTTTCAGAAGGCGATGGATTGTACCTTGCAAGGATTAGAAGGTGTGGTTTGCTACCTCGACGACATTCTAGTAGTCACGAAAGGAGACGTTCAAGCACATAATGACTTGGTTGAAAGAGTGATGCACCGACTCGACGCAGAAGGCTGGGCATTGAAACTCAGTAAGTGCGAGTTCTCAGTAAACCAATTAACATGGCTAGGTTATGTCATAAATGAGCACGGGTACTGCCCGAAATTTTCAAAAATTGATGCGATTCGATCACTTAAACCTCCCAAAACCTTAAGGCAGCTCCGCTCGTTTATGGGGACGTTAAATCACTTACAACGATTCATACCTGATCTACACACATATACCGTTCATTTCCGAGAATCTCTAAAGGCATGTAACAAACAGTCTTTTCGGTGGGGGGAGGAACAAGATAGCGCCTTCAAGAGTATCATAAATATGTTGGCTAATATTCCCAATTTATTCCATTATGACTCTTCAAAAAGTTCTCGGGTGAAATGTGACGCTAGTCATAACGGGTTAGGGGCATGTTTGGAACAAGAGATCGAACCAGGAGTTTGGGCCCCAACCGCGTTTGCCTCACGCTTTCTCAATAATGCTGAGACAAAATATAGTACGAATGAACTTGAGTTGTTGGCAATCGTTTGGGCGTGCGAACATTTTCGTACTTATTTATTGGGCAACCGTTTTCAAGTATTAACCGACCACAAAGCCATTATTTCGGCATTGAGTGAAAATTATAATAACAAATCCTATCAGTCGCGTCTTTCACGTTGGGCGGACCGGTTATTACCATTCGATTTCGAAGTTATTCACGTGCCTGGGGTTACTTTAGGCATTGTGGATTATCTGTCTCGACATCCAACCTTCCCAGCTCCAGCGCCATCAATCTACGATGAACTTTTTGTTGTAAAGTCTATTGAGGCATTCAATTCGGCCTTATCATTTATAAATACATTTAATATACTTGACTCGTCTATTAAGTTATGTTCTTCGTCGCAAGAGGTCGATGTGCCTCAAATTCATAAATCAAAGTGTTTTCTCGACCAATCAAATCACGTTATGCAAATTCGCGCGCTCGGTCTCTCACCGCGTGAGGGCGTCGAGTCATGTTGTTGCAGAATTGACCAATCAGAAACCGGTATGCTAATTAATAATCGCAAACCAAATTCGCTTGCTTCAATTCATTGTCTCCGACCTGAATTGTTAAAAGATAGTCGCAACTCTTTCTTCTCATCTTTAACTCATTCTACTAATTCTCTTTTATCTCACTTCTCTATCTACAACAACATGAATCCCTCAAAACCTACTTCACTACCACATTCCGCTCTTGAACATACTAACGACAAACCAACTACTCAACCAGCTCACAATCCGATACAACACTCATCACATAGCACAATGGAGGAACAAGCAGAACTCCTCTCTTTTGTCGAAAACTTCACATTGAGTTCACCTAATTTTCGACGGCCGAGCCCGCGCCCTTCAGTAAGATCTCGTCAAGTAGGACGAATCTCACGACTGGACCAGGTACGTCAACGCAATCGGACCAGAGAGCGTGCGGCGAAAACCCGATTTGTTGCTGCCAGGACTGTCTCCAGAAGGGAGGGACACAACCAGCTTTTGGAGGCTATGCGGAAGTGCCGATTGTCAAGACCGGGCAGAGCTCATTCTGCTGATAAAGTTGGCGTGTATGCAATCAATGGTGGAAAGCCTATCATCTCCAAGTCCAAGAAAGAAATTGTGGGACTACCGGGATTATTCGACGCTGACTTGCTAGCCGAGCTCACAGAAGAAGATAGATTTCTGGGTCCGATGAAACGGGCCATCAATAACAAAGACGTTTCCAGTTTTAACAAACTCGGAACCTACATGGCCCAATTCTGGTCGAAAGCAGCGGTTGTCAACAACTGTGTGATAATTGACAACAAACTGGCCATCCCAGAAGTCCTGAGACCAGCTGTTCTTGCCCGCCTTCATCGGTCGCACCCGGGTCAAGAGGCCATGATGTCAGCCTCTGAATACATTTGGTGGCCATTTATGAATCGGCAGATAGTCGACACCTGCGAAAGATGCCGCGAATGCACGTTGTATGGTAAGAACTTAAAGCCCGTCAAGACTTTTCATACCGCTCAATCTTTGCCCTTGTTAACGGGGCCTAATCAGGAGTTACAGTTAGATTTTGCCGGTCCTATTGTAGATGGTAGAGGCGTAAAAATATTCCTCTTGGTAGCTATCGATCGTTTCTCGAAATTTCCTTCTGTACTTATTACAAAAACTACTGGGGCTAAAAAGGTTACGAAATTTCTTGAATCTTATATCCGAATTCATGGCTTACCTCATTCTATCAGGACTGATCATGGCTCCGGTTTTAAAAACAAAAAATTACAACAATTCTGTTCTAGTAAAGGTATCAAACACATCTTTTCCCCAGTCGGAGACCATCGGGGCTCTGGCCTCATCGAACGTACGATACAAACAATAAAACGCAAGTTAGGCACTGAACAACTGGATCCTACTTTCGGTATCTTTAAAGAAGTACTCTATCGAATTATAGAAGATATCCGTAAAAGCAATCATTCTACACTTAAGAAGTCACCTTTTGAAATGCACTTCGGACGTAAACCCAATACTGAATGGCCACAAGCTTTTCATAATATAGTTAATTCTGATACTTCAGCACAAAGACTTGAACGCAACCTCTTGACGCCGGATCAAATTGCCAGTCAGGACTATAGTCGAGATCGTGCCAAAGTGGTGCCAAGAGGCAGTCTCAGTCCTCAGATTTCCCCACGGTTCAACCCAATGTTCTCTCTGGAGGGAAACATTGCCGACAGTGCGTCGTACAAGGCGCTGGCCGATCTTGCCCGGGCGGCTAATAACTGGTCTCAACAGAAAAGAAATCTTCCACCAGATGGGGGAAAACGGGCGCTACAGGAGCTGTCGAGTCGCCATTCGGATCTGGCTCAGTCACTAAAAACAGGCCTCTCTCGCAAAACACTATACTTTGCGGAAGACCGGTCAATCAATACGCCTCCAGAGGCCCAAGATACTGTTCGCCGTCTACCGACACTTCAACCCCGTCGACAGTCTAAGACAAGGAATATAGAAACTCTCCTTTTATCCGATCCTACACGTGTGAGAGTGTTTAGAAAAATTATAGATCGTCATTCTGGCAAACCTCTTTTTAAACTCGCGAAATTCAAAATTACTCGTGTCACCGATCATACATATGTTACCGACAAGGGAAAGGTGTATCGGAAAAATCATGTCTGTCTTAAGCCTAATTATAATAACATTTCAGCAACATACAACACACTAGGTGATCGGCTCCAAACTTCATCTTCAAAAAGTGGGGGAAGAAACCATTTACTCGCGCATCTAACCCAAAATTGCTCGAAAAACGGCCAGCTAACACAAGCGCGTCATACCCGGCGGTGGTGGACCTTGCTGCGGATTCATCTAGTGAGAGCCCTCCCGTTCAGCACGCTTTGCATGAAACTCGGACATCTACTCCGATGGAAAAGCGATTACGGCTACACGACGAATCACAACCGGTTACGTTTAGCAGCTCGTCCCTCACACCGGGCCCATCTTCTATGGATACTAGTGTCGACCCCCCGCTCACCATTCAGCCTGCTGAGTCCACAACTTGGGTTGCTGGTTCGCATCAAGTACCACTGGACGTGGTTGATTCCGAGAGTCCTATTGTCCAAGGAAAAGGCGCCCAGGCAGACCAATATTCGTCGCTCCTTTCTCTTTCTCTCCCAGCTCAACCGACTACGGATGATCTGGAAGGCACTCGGGCCTCATCTCGAAACAAAAAGGCCACAAGATTTTTCGGCGACCCGTTACGGCACTCGGTCAAATCGGTGGAAGAAGCCAAATCATTAGGAAAAGAAGCCGACTTGTCATTCTCTACAAGTATTATACCATCTTCCAAGACATACGCAAAATACACTTCAGTGCCATCATCCTCCACGTCACCTAAACGTAAACCTCTTGTTCGGGACCGTTTACACTTAACTTCTCCGGAGGCGTCATTTTCATCCTCGCCAGTTAAAGCTCAGGACGAAATCTGAAGATCGAAAAAAAACACTCACTCTCAAACTTTTAACAAAACTTCGTATTTAAACATTATTCTTTTCACCATGCATTTTACGGGATAGGGGTGCTATCTAAAATAATGCTTAGGGGTGCCGTCTATTTATTTATGTATTAAACAATTTTTGGGTTCCCCAAAAATTTTCCCTTCCGCGGGGAATGTGATGAGGCGACATTTAGTACCTCATTTATTTTGCTGTCTTTTGCAGCCACGCTGCATAGTTATTTACCAGTCTGCTCAAGGTCACCGGATTGGCCTTACCGAGCGACACACTGTGTGTGATCACTCTTATGTTTTGTATACATCGTTGTTAGATGTAAAGTTTATTCAATCTCTATTTGTTCTATTTCATTTAGTCAAAGTCTGACTAACTAAATCTCAAGTAACTAAGAATCAAAGCAACTAATCAATCAATTCACTATTACGAACAATCTAGTTTTGTCCTTTAAATCTCGGCAAATCTCACGCGCAGAAAAAGGTAGTACCTGGTTGCGACTCATGATTTTGGGCTCTGTCTGAAGTCTATATTTCGCTGAAATAGGTTCTTACTTTTAATTTTTGGGTGGAATTTTATCTTCTGGTGTTTTACTTTTTTTCCACGCAAAATCAGGTGCCACAAACAAAAAAACTTCAAAATACGTAAAATATTTCCAGAAACTGTCTGAAAGGCTTAAATAGTTGGTATGATAGGCTAAAACAATTATTAAAGCATATATTTTGATACAGTAGGTATCTTGGTCGTGCTGTGATGTACTTTGACTCTGCGTGGGAATAAAACAAACGCAATTAAAATATTGTGGTGAATTAATTAGTACAAACTGATGCTTGGTGCATTTAATTAACAAATCCTAAAAAAAATACCACATTTAAAAGCACTCGGGGTAATGGCAAGATAAAAACCTTGCGCAGTAGCTCCAATCAAATTTGACATTTTAAAATTGATAAACGAAAAATAAAGTATAATTTGTCCAAAAGCTTTATCAGATTTGAATCAGCTTCATCACGCTTTTCTTTCAGTCAGTCAATTCTTCTTTCAGTCATTTCGTTTAATTAATTTGTTTTACAATAACCTTTGCTATTTTTAATGTTAGCGAAAAACATCTTCAAAAACCTAAGACAAAAGTTATCCTGGAGAAAAACGATAACTTCAGCACTGCTTGAAAAAGGAATTTGAAAAACAAGCTTCATCAAATCACCGTAACAGAAAATGAGCGTGAACAAATTTTGGGTTTTTACTTTCAAAAAACCACTACCATGTACGTTTATTGATTACGCTTCCGCTTATAAGGCCGAATAACGCAATTTCAAGCTTTTAGCTTGATGGAGTTATATTGCTTAAATGTTTTGAAAATTCCTTGCTTCTTTCAATTTTGCTATATGCTGGTGCCGAGGGCGCTTTTCGGATAATTTCAAGGACGGCGCGCTCAAGAAACTATTTGAGTTGCGCAGGAATCAAACATCCTATCCTAAATTCCCGCTTTGAATGAAGCTTGCTGTGTGTGATGATGCGGGGTTCATGGCGTTCTAGACTAACAAACAACATTTCACGTTTCTACTGTGTTTAAGGAAGGTCAGAATGTGGGTCGGGTGGTGTCGAACTATTTGGAGACGAAGGAGAAGGATGTGTTCACAGCTGTGGATAACTACACTGTGGAGATAATGGAGGAGTTGGAGACACGGCAGAAGGGCGCACTAATCGGAACAGCGTTCCTCATGGTACGACAACACCAGACAATGGTTTCCCTTCTACCACCCATTCTCTTCCCTTAGCATACACAAACTCACACAAGCACCACGCACACGCACACACACACACACACACACACACACACAAGCACCACGCACAAACACACACACACCACACGACGCATGTAGAATTTTTGTGTGCTGTACTTGAAAAGTATAAATAAAAATATATATATAAGGGAGAAGGATTTTACGTTCTAAGTTGTGTATTCATAGAAAATGCGCTCAAAAATAAGTTACTAGCCTAAACGATCAAGGAGGGTTATCTTGCAAGATTCTTGCAAGATGGAGGTTATCTTACAATATCTTCCAAGAGTGAGGTTATCTTGCAAGAATATTGCACAAAACTTTACTCTGAGCGCCAGAAAGAACAATGGAGATCCAACTTCACTACGGTCACAAAAGAATTCTGAGTGTAAGATCGGAAAAAAACTGGTTAAACAAATTTTAAAAGTTTTCATATATATTTTTATTTTTCATTTTTCCTAATGTAAATAGTTTCAGGTTGTCGTTATAATTGAAAACATATTTTTTTTGACTTTATGGGAATTTTTCATCTAGTTTTGCAGTTAAAATTTTTTTTGTCAAAATTTTGATGCATAAAGTCAATTAGCTTAAAATATTTTTTATGTTGTGTTCACATATAAATCCGATAAATAATTATGCGTTCATCTTATTATGAGGTTTTATTTTTCCTCTCAATGTTGATTGTTACGGGTACTTGCTACTGGTAAAGTGTCTACTGATTAAGAAAATTTACTTGTCTTCTTGTGTAAGGTTTTTTATTCACAAAAAAATCATGTCTTTAAAGATCTTGCTAGAATTAAGGTTATCTTTAGTGGAGGTTGTCTTGCAAGATCTTTTGAAGAGATGCATCTTCTTTGAAAGAATCTTGCAAGATTCTTGCAAGATCTTGCAAGATAACCTCCCTTGATCAACTAGGGTCTAGAAGAAATCTTTTTCCAAATTTTTCAATACGTTATATGCCACAAGATCAGTATTAAAAATTATAATCATAATTACAAATTGTTTCCAAACGATATCTAGTTACAGGGGTTTCGGATTAAATTCTCATGGATATACTCCCTCAAGAACAAAACCCCGAAGAAGAAAATCCCCTAGGACAACCTTCCAGTTGACTTTCTATAAAAATGAGCTCTGATTGCAAAAAAAAGATCACACAACGAGGGGGATAATTTTGGAAGCATAAAGATAATTGTATGTTCTGCCGCTAACTACAAAGAGTTGCGTTGTCTTAAAGCCGTCGCTGTTAACTTGTCATTTTAGTTTTTAGCGTTTAACTATCTATTTCTTTTCTGTTAATTATTTTTCATCATTCAATTTAACTTTTGGTGTCGCATTTTTGTTCAGTTCGAATGTGGTGGTTTTGTCTTAGGGGGATTTGGTCCTATGAGGGATTTAGTCCTGGGAGATTATCTCAGTGCCATAGCTCTTAACTTATCCTGTTTTTTTTTGTCTTTATTTGATCTAATTCTTCTGTTTTTTTTTCTTCATTTAATTTAACTTGTAGTTTCGCATTTTCGTTCAGTTCGAATGTGGTGGATTTTAAAATTAAAACTGGAGGATTTTGTCCTTTAGGGATTTGGTCCTATGAGGGCTTTAGTCCTGGGGGATTATCTGAGCGCCATAGCTGTTAACTTGTCTTTTTAGTTTTTTGGTCTTTATTCGATCTATTTCTTTTCTGTTAAATATTTTTCATCATTCAATTTAACTTGTAATTTCGCGTTTTTGTTCAGTTCCAATGTGGTGGATTTTAAAATAAAAACTGGATGATTTTGTCCTGTAAGGATTTGGTCCTATGAGGGTTTTAGTCTTGGGGGATTTTATCCGAAGGGATTTTGTCCTAGGGGATTTTGTCCGCCAACGAGTAACAAATAAAAATTTAATATACACATCTGAATTCTATGATAAAACACCATTAAGCCAGCGCGGCTCGTTTTCAGGTGTCTTATTAATCGGAGAACAAAAAAATAGTCAACTCCCTAGATCCAATGGATCGTTCTACTGGTACACATCTATTCATTAAACGTACACATCTTTTCACCCTCCTTTCAACCCTTTTCTTTATAAATGTTTATATAAATTTTGTTTGTCAGGTAATCTTTAATAACCATAACCTAGAAACCAACAGAAACAAATTCCATATATTCTTCAGAAAAATCTCAAAGCATGCCCAATAAAATGGTATTTCCTATATTGTACTTTTCCAAAAACTTACGATTAAAACGATTCAAAACCGGAACCAGGTGAGGTGGGAAAAAATTCAAAACAATATTAAACAATGTCGATATCAATGTCGACATTCGCAGTTAGAGGAGGGTGGGGGGATGGTGATGGGAAGAGGGAGGGTAAAAACGTCGTCTGAATGAACGATCCGACGGAACGCTATTGTGTTTCAGGACATTTTGCTGTTCCACAATAATTCGTGAAAACAAGCACTTCATTGATTGCGCAATCGAGCTTCTCTTTCCGAAAACTATATCTTCAACTCAACCCTTCACTATAATGCTCTCCAGAGAAAACGACATCGAAGAGACAAGGATCGAAAAAATTCAAATTAACACTCAAAATGAATAAGCTTTCCAGAATTTTTATTATTACTTACCAGAATATTAAATAGAATATTTTTACCTAAATTTCCTCAATTCAAATCGACTGCGCTGCTTCTTCACTTAGGCAAGTTCCATTTATCAATTTCACAACTTCGTTCTCTCTGAAATTCTAAGTAGGAGGGTCTGTTTTAGTAAGAAAACGGTCCACTACAGGGGTATTAGTAAGACGGGGAGGGGCTGGGGCTACCAATTTCTTCGATTCGAGTTAAACACGTGTTACACTCGAAAAAAAGTTCTTTCTGAAACTTTTGTCGACTTTTTTTAGGTCGCACAAATTGAATTTCCGAGCGCTCCCAGAACACTAAAAAGACCCTATTTTGACAAAAAAAATTTGCGCTGCATGCAAATTTTTGAAAAAAAAGAGGTGAAAAAGTCCGTTTTTGAGCACTTTTTGGGAAAAGCTGATCAAAAAATCGCCTCCTTTCGGCGCGGGTTCCCTTTCAAAATTAGATTATATTGGAGTCAATGGCGCCTTTACTAAAAATATTTTAGGGTTGGTCGGCCGAAAAAAGATGTCACAAAATAATATCACAGAGGGGGACCCTTTTGCTGGTGCAGTGGTCAAACTCCTGACTTCGTCTATCTAAATCTTAATCCGCCGAACAATCTCCCCTTTAATAGACCAAGTGAACCTCCCCCCTAAAAATAAATATCAAATTTAAGCCGCATAAGGCCTGCATGTTTTATGCTTTCATCTGCTTGGCTTAAAAACAATACTTTTGACCAAGTGAGCAATCTCAAAGGTGGAGATTGTTCATTTGGTCCCCGTCCCTGATAGTCATGACTATTCGGCTGTTTAGCATTTTACGTTAGTTTTCTCTTAAAGTAAACACACGATAGTCACTTTAGTTATTACCGACTTCAAGTCGGAGAAAAAAAAACTTTTTTTTCTTCTTTTTTCTAACTTTGAAAATCATTAAAAAGGGTGTTCATATTAACCGGGGATTTGTTCTTCATTTGCTTCGAATCAGTAGGCGGGAGTGGGTTTCTTTATTGGAATTGCAGAGCATGAATTGATTATTGAACTGATTTAAACTTAAGTTACACAAATCGATAAAAGACGCATTTTAGCTTTTAATTATTATCAGTATATACCCTCAAAAATATCATTCGGTTCAGTTTTTTAATCAATATTGCTTTACTTAATAACTGCATTTCGATTAGAATTTCTTAATCAACTTCGGTACCAAGCAGGTCGAATGAGAATAATACAGACAATTGCCTCTCACTTTGATAGACACTTCTGGCAATTTAAACACCTCAAATCCCTCAATTTCATCCTCTTTCCAACCAACGCTGAGAAGATGTGGTTTCTGAGTTTCGTTCCAAATCGTCTCCCATGTCTTTTCTGCAATATCGTCTTTGGTTAAATATCTACCGAAAAGCACGCCCAGCGATGTCAAGTTGCAATAGGTAAGAATGCCATTAGGCCGAAGTTTCGCTTTCACTTTCTCAATAAAAGAGAACTGATGAGTATGTTGCTCGGCTGCACTCATTGGATATGTGTCGTACAGCACACCGTCTAGAGAGTTGTCTTCTAGTTGGTCAATAACATCCCGCCAATCACCTTGCAGTATTTGGATGGAAGGGTGGTCGGCTAAGAACTGCTTGTGTTGCTCAATTACCTGAACAGATGGGTTTAAATGTCACATGGGGTTAAATGCCGAAACTGCAGTTATTTGCAAAAATTGAATCTGAATCAGTCAAGTTAATGCGGAATTTCTATTATGGTTAAAAAGGTCAAATCATCAGCTTCAAATGCCAAAAAATTGTCTCTTATAAAAAAATTAATAATTTCTATTATTTGCGTCCAGCATCGCTGTTCGTGAGCGGATTCATCAATTACTACTTTAGTCAACTTTGAGATTAGATTTTTGGCTCAATCAGCAATCTTGAAAATTTACAAAGAAGCGAACCTAAGCTTAGCAATTACAGGGAATAAAAATTACAAAAATGAGTTCTAAAATTAGTAGTAGAAGCGTCAGCAATGGGGGGTGGGTGACCCTCATGTTTTAAAATAGGGAATAGAACATCCGGTCACCCAGCTATGTATTAACATTGAATATAGAGTCTACAGTGTAATAAGATAGGGAATAGAATTGGCAGTTTCATGGTTTGTGTGATGGTACGAGAATGGTTAAAAAAAGGTTTTTTTTTTGGATTTTGTGTGGAAAACACTAGTTTTTTCGCAAAAATTTCGGCGCGCGTTATCTAAATGGTAAATGTCAAGGGTAAATGTCAAGGGTAGATTGTGGAATGAAGGTTCTATGTTTTATGGTAAGTCAATGGTAAGATGCGCAAAAACTTAAATTTTTTAACACAAAAATTGAAAACTTTTCAAAAAAACTTGAAAACACGATAAGATTCGGTATAATTCGACCAATTAACTATTTTATTAGATGATCTTACTTTTTAAAACTGTGCTCTATCTACCTGAAACTATGTTGAAACCTAATGAAACTTCGAAAAATTGGGTTTTTTGAGAAAAAAATTAACTATGAAGAAAATATATGCATCGTATAGTAAATTTACTGCCATTTACACTAACAAATAAAAAAAACTACCCAATTACATAAAACTACTGATAAAATTCAAAACATGCGCAACATGAATATTATTCAAGTTTCTCTGGTAGAAATTACAAAGAAATGCTGAATAAATTGCGTAAAAACAACACAAAATATCAGTTTTTTGTAGTTTTCTGGGAACCATTCGCCACTACTTTTTCGTTAGAAAGGAATAAGTTGTTTTTTTTTACCCAAAGAATCAGCAATGTAGATTCTCTACTCTATCATTCTTGAAGCTGAGATGATGCTAGCAAAAGAGTATTTTGTTAGATGAGGTACTCTATCTGAGGGTTAAGATCCCATGCACTTGAATCTGAGCTCAAGAAATCTTTCAATCATTTGCAGAATTGATAAAATTATCCATCTTTGCAATTGTTTGTTGACTTACATCTTAAAACAAAGAAATTGATAGCTTGATACTGCATTTTAGGATAAAAAAGTAAGACTAATGACTTACACGCATTTGAGTTTTGAATCAACGAAGTCCGATATGCAAGCCCTATGTAGTGGGCAAAGATTATGTAACACTGTTTTACAGTCTAGATTGAAGAAATGTATGGGATTTTCAATTAAACAGCTCTCATTTTCTTTTTTTTCTGGAGGTTTAGCTCTGAAGAAAAACAAAATAGATACTACAGAGACAATAACGATGAAAGTCCCAAAAAAATTACAAGATTTTCATAGGAACCTGAAAACTCAAAAAATTAACACTTTTAGCGACTGTTCCGAATTTATCAATTTGAATGATTGATAGTTTTTCTCCAAAGACTATCACTTCCGTTACTTGCTCCAAGGGAAATTGGAAAAACATTTCTAATCTCAAGCTTTCTCCACTAAGTACTGGATAATGAAACTGTTCAGCTGCATTGTAGTGAAGTCAAGTCAAAAACCAGAATATAGTGATTTTGAAAACTTCCATAGGAAGAGCAAGAAAATCTTCGTTAAACTGCATTTCTTTCATTGTTGTAACATAGGGGTGACAAGGAGAAGTTGTATCTTGGGGCGACAAGGAAAATTGACTTCCACCCCGAAAAATTCTAAGCTCTCTCAAATAAAACTGTTGATAATTGAAAGGATTTTCATTAAAAGAGCCCGCAACAGCTGAATTTGTATTCATTGCAACAGTTATTTTTCTGATTGGGGCATTATTGAAAACATTTTCCTGAATAAACTGGTTTTGACGAGATGGAATGATAAAGGTTCTTGCTATAGTTTCCATGTTTTTGTAATGAGCAGGTTCCCTTTCCAGATTCCATTGTAAGTATTGATGAATAGGTTCAGCTACTAAAATTCTTCTTGTAAACTGAACAATCGACAATTTTCAGAATAAGATTTTGATTATCAGGCAGCATGTAAAAATTAGGTCTAGCTCGAATTAGTTTAATTCGAACTTTGGTATTGGAGTGCAACATTTTTTCGCTAGTAAACAAACCAATGGCGAGCCTCCCATAGAGAAAAACTTACTACAGTTCCTAAGGAATTTGCTCAATCAATAAACGGATGCATGTCAAATGCATCAGGAAACTTTCCAAAACTATATCCATGACAAGCAAGCGTTCGTTTATTACTCACTGCCAACGAGTTGTAAGCCATTGTTGTTAAAATAAACATCACAATTGGAGAATAGTGAATGTAGTAGATTGTTTACATAAGTTACGTTAGGTTCTGGTTCTTCGTCTGAATCATCCTCGGATTTTGCTTTATGTTCTGCTTTTTCTTTCTTGAAAGCATTAAATAACCCTCCGTTGAATAATTGAAGCTTTAAACTAAGATGGGTATCACGCATATCCAAGTAGAGATTACGATCCGTTTCAAATTCAAACTCAATACTGCTTTCATCTAGAGAAGTGATGGGGAAAACTTCGTGTGTAAGAAGAAATAAATATTTCTAAAACTGGGACTTGATCAAAAATCTCCAACGAAGAATTTGTACAAGCTCCGTACCCAAAAATGATTACTTTGGTTTATACTCATTTTATTTTTTCAAAGTGAATGTTTTTCGATCGAGATTTCTGTTTTCCATCTCCATATTGTTTCCAAACTGCTTTTGTTTCCAGATCTTTTACAAATGTTTTGAGTTTTTTGCATTCACCAAACAAATCTGCTCCAATTCTTTTCGCAGCTGGGACTATACATTTTTTTTATATAGGGGATTGCAATTCTCCCAAGAAATTGCGCAAGAGCACCAAAACCTCTTCCACGTTGTCTTGCAAGTCCTCGAAAAATGGGGGAATCAGCTGAATTTTTAGCAACCATTTCGTATGAAATATAAATCAAAAATAATTATTCGAAATCTTGCGGATGAAGAGAAAAATTGGTGTAATTCCTACGGACACAAAGGAATTTTTTCGCCTGTACGTTCTCTTAGTTTTATCTTGATCCTCTGGAAAATGTTTTTTTAACAATTTTTTAAACTGTAAATTTGTGAATGACTGATAATTCACGTACTGTCCTGTAGAAATTATATCTTCATTTTTACTGTGGAGATGAATGGAATACAACGCAAAAAAGGAGTTTTGTATCACCGACTATGTTATATCTATAATGTCACTATATATCATCAAGGAATGTATTCTTATAAAGTAGTAAGGATACTGATGATAATGCGGTCCTTTTCCACTCATTATAACCACTGTTTGATTTTGTTCTAAATCACAACCAAAAATGTGACTCAAATTAGAATTTTGAATAATAAACATTGATTGATCCTCAGGTAATTGAACGGCTATCTTTTGTGTAATTTTTATCTTCTGATACATATAATCCGTTATATTCGAATGCTTGAGCAACTAGACGTTCTTGAATTTTTTTGTTCATGGCTACAGCTATATCAACAAATTTTGGTTAGACTCGTGGTTCAATATGCATCGGTTCAATCTTTCTTTTCTCCTCAGATTTTTCTCTGCCATCTACGAAATAAAATTTTCCCTCGGTATGATTTAGGTACAAAGAAGGGTACGATATTTCTGAAATAGCAACCTCCCATTCTCCTGTTATATGTATTTGCTCGGGTAGAAAATTTGTTAAAGAACTAAGAATTTTATTCGGGTCAGCGTTGAAAGAAGCGTTAGAACTAGCTCAATAGTAAGAGAACCCATGACAACCGATCGATAGAATTTCAGTTTAAAAATTGATTGACCTTTAATGTGAACGTTTTCTCAGCTCTTTTACATAAAAATTTCCCGGAATTTCTTCTTGTCGTGATCTTTGATGATGTAAATAGGAGAATATCATTCTTTGAAATTCTCACTCTCTCCAAATTTGATTTTTGATTTCTTATACCTTGTTAGAGCTTTATTGTACAGAATGGAGAGGAAATCAGTATTCTTGACATCTCTAGAAGATTTCCCAGCAGATCTATTGACGCGACAAATCATTGTAGACACAAAATGAGGCAACTTGTGAATATTTTTTTCAGCATGATCTTCTATGTAGCGGTAAATTATGTGTTTCAATGATTGAATGGCTCTCTCTGCAAATGCAGCTTTTGTTTCACTCATTGTTTGAGTAAACTTCAATGTCTTTCTCTTTGCAAACTTTATTGAAAGTTCCCCCAGATTTTGTTCCTTTATCAACCCAAAGTATTTTTTCGAGAAGTCATTTTTTTGAAAGATTGCAAAAGTGTCGTTGGCGTATTTTGTTTTCATTGCTTGAACGCTGACAAATCGCGAACAAACATCAACAGCAACCCAAAAAAATCTGGCTCCAATATTTTGACTTGCTAGTTTTTCCACAAAAGTCAAGTTCATATACCAATTTTCATTGATATATTTTTGAAAAAGCTTTACTCAAGGTTCGCACAGAATCGTACGCCGCTCTACCCCTAATATACAATCTGTTCAGACTTACTTTTTAAGATTTTGAAAAAGATCCAAATTCGTCTGTCTTTCATTTTGGCATTCTTGTTGATAACAAGTTGAGTAGGAAAATCGGTATTTTTTCGCTTTAGTGCACCCACAAAAGTCTACCATAGCTTATTTTGTGTCTCGATGAACTAATAAGATATTTTCTGACTGATTTAGTTTAGTTCTAAGAGCATTCAAAAACAAATCAAAAGG